ACTCCCAAACCGATAGATAGGCGACAGCCGCTATGTGTTTCTATGTGAATGTGTGTTTGTCCGTTAGTACCATTTAAAGTAAAGGCAGGAAAAATAAGTTTAGCTTAACTTCAATTTCATTATTTTTTCGTATATGTGTATATGCCATTTGAATCCACTGTCCAGCATCATAATTAATGCTATCATTATGATCGCGAACTCATAGATGGACAAAGAATACAATGCACAATGAAAGCGCAATGCTTCCCCCTTACAAAATGCTGACCGCCACTTGTGTGACATCAACGGAATTGTGTACAAAAATGAAAGAGAAAATGAAATAAAAGCGTATTTAGCCATATACATACATTTGCACTATATTCTTCTAAATTCTAATGAGAATTAAAAGAATTATATTTGAATGCATTTAAGCATTTGGTAAATCAATGAATGTGATTAATTCTAATTCATGAACGTTTCTCATAGGAGTTCTATTAGTGTGCTGATGAGTTTAGACGAAATAAATTTAAGCCGTTCGTCAATTTAAATTTCAATTTGTTTGTACCTTGATGTCTTCTTATGTCTCATATGTTCCATTTATTGTATCATTCGCTTATATGAGAAAGAGTAAACGAGTATGTCACTTCGTTTTTTAAATTTTCTTATTCATTATCCCATTTGAAATAGAAAATTTAATTTTTTGTGATGTAGTGGCCATAACACACTCTCTCTCACCATTCCAAAAACTACTCTCAATTCAATCTATCAATTTATTGTGTGCGTAATTTTTTTTTGTTGGACTCACATTGGGCCTCTATATATGTATACACAAACACATTCACATTTATATTTCGTGTCGAAGCATTCAATTTATTTCGATGAGTCGGTAACACCGTCATTTTGTTGTTGTATGTGTGCATTTTTTCCTTGGTTTTTCTTTTTCATTATGTATTTCTGATACAAAAAACCCAATTTTTTTTCTGTTCGGAGTTTCGCGAATTCATTTTCAAATTTTATTTTATATCATTGAATTTATCTCGCATTTTTCCAGTCACCGTTGAAAACCGTCTCCTTCTCTCAAGTGGCTCCCCCGTATTCTCGTGATATTGTTGGTTGATTGCGATTCGTTGTCATCTTTTTTCCATATTGAGTTTTGTTCATCGCATTCTCGCATCGCATCCAACGTGCTTCGGTATTGCTTTTCGATACATAAATAGTATTGAGGCAGCTTTCTCTTTCTCTCTCTCTCGCTCTCCACCGATTCTGAAAAATAGCCGCGCGCGCGAGATGCTCCACACATATGCAGGACTAGATACGATGGTGGCTATCGTAGACTGATGACGGCCACCTCTTTCTTCCAATTCTTAACTGCACTCACTCCTTCACTCATATGCACACTTGCATGCGAATGCCACATTTTTGCTCGACACCAGAGAGATGCCTATGTCCATATATCTCGAAGCCAAATCCATGCATACATATATTTAAATATTCCATATTACACATTACATATTACGTTGTTAAAGTCCATTATTTTTCCAATTTCATACTCCTGATTGTACGCGTTTTATGGGGCAAAAGATGCAAATACAATGAATTTACTGATGCTGTTATACTACTACATATATAGGATGTATTTATACACACTCATACAAGAAAAAAAATATACGAAACGGTTCCGGCCTGTTTTCTCATTTGCACAAAATTTAAACAATAAAAAAGAAAAGCGTTTTTCACGTTCTCTCTCTCTCTCTCTCTCTCTTACTCACACACAAACACACTCATGCCCTCATTTTTTTCAATCTCTCATTTCTCCTAAATGAATTGAAGAGATAAAGAGATGAAAAAACATCCAGAGCCATGTATGAATACAAACAAATATTTAGTTGACGGAACATCTAACGAGATGCAACAATAACTACGACTGGCGTTCAAAAATTCAAATCAGCATAAAACAAAACAAAAAAATGCTCAAACTCGACAAATTGGTGCGCGTGTGGCACAAAAAAGGATAACACACATATATGCAAAAAAGAGAGAAAGGAGAGCACGGGACACAGTCACTGAAGATGCAGAATGAAAGAAAACGAGTAGAGAAAAAATCTGCACAAATATGAAAACCGTGCACAATTTTGATGGTGTTTAACGGTGAAAATAACTTTACTCCAGATCGTAGGCATTTTGCAGATTCGTATATTTGTGAGTAAATGTCTGTGCGAGCAAATGGCCGAGATTCGAGGATTTCAAAATACACTTTCAATGAATGGGTGATATTAAACCAAAAAAAATATTTGGATGTTCGTCGGTCCATGGAATGAGTGCAAGCGCAACGATATAAATCAAAAATATAAATTGGAAATCAATAGGAAACGTACATTTTTCAGTACGCTAAATATGCATATGAATGGGAATCTCTATCTGTGTTTGCATTTATGAAAATGCGCTGATTTTATTTGGTGAATGAGGAGATCGACGGAAAAGGCGGGCGATCGAAACATGCTCATAATATGTCAGGGAATGCAAAACGATCTACGGATCGAAACTCACGCCAGAACAGATATAAAACAAGACAATGTTATACATTTTTAAATTCATAATAATATAAATATTCCATACGATTCCAAATTCATTTTGTACGAAATTTTATTTGAACATTTCTGCCATAATTTCTGCGATGTTTTTGTTTTTATAGAACCTATTTAAATATTGTTTCTTTATCATTCGAGTAGATTTTAAATTACACAATATTAAATTATTTTGAAAGTGTATTGTGAAAGGCGACAATTCCACGAGAGATTTGATTTTGATGAAAACAACCACTGAAAATAATAAAATAAATGAGTATGTTCACCTGTAATTATTTTTGGAGATGTACCGTATTTGAAGTTTATGTATGCAAACGATTTTCGATGACTTTGAATTTTATTTTTAACTGATTTCGTTAAATGAATTTTATTCTTAGCACAGTTAAAATTCAGGTTCAAAATTACTCCTCATGTTGAGTAAAATTTAAATGGAAAAATGAACTTGGTACAATGTCTTATAAAATTCAATTTTACCACATTGTAGTTCAATGATTGTAATCTTATGATCTAACCCTATGTGTTAAGGTTTTATCACATTTATTTACATTTAAATTTAAACGGATTTTCGGAAATGTTTCTTGAATTCAAAAAACAATCTTAGTGAATCTTTAACTATTCATGTACTTCCTCTTAATTTGGTGTCTCTTAAATTTATTATTAAAATTTCTTTAAATGTACACACTGGAAAGCTTCTTGAAATAATAATATTTAAATATCGAACATAATATTGACGGCGTAAAATGTGTTGAAAAATCATAAAGGTGCCAACATAAAACATAATTCTTTGCTTTTTAAATGAAATAATAACGAAAGTAATCCAAATAAATGTTGAAATTCGAGTATTTGGCAACATAATTGAGCGCAACTCACACAGTTTGTGTTTAAGCAATTTAAAACTGGGCAAATGTTGGAATGGTTGCTCGCTTTAAGCACTTAAGGCAGCTGTCAGAATGCACAAAACACAGAGAACGAAATCGAAAGTGAAAAAGTTAGAGAGAACGAGAAAAGAACTGGCGCACTTCTTGCGAAGCCATGGCAGTGTAATCAGATATTCGTGGAACATATACATTAAACTTACAGTAATAAACTCACCAGCTCATCACTTGGGTTGTGCGCAACAAGTTAGCAGCGTTAAAGTTCTTTGGAGCGACAGTAAATTTTCCTTTTCAGTGTTATTTTTCGTTTACATAGCGCCGATGTCTCACAGTTGGATACCCCTTTTTATTTGTTTTTATTTTGTTTTGTTTCACATATTTTTGCCAAAATGAAAAGAACAAGTATATTCCATACAAAAAAATGGTTTGTGTGTGGTATTTTGTTTAACATTCGTCCCCCAACATTCACTCGAAGTAGGGTGACGTGAAATGTGTTCAAGCGAATGGTAGCCGTAATGCTTGTGAATTTGTGGCGCCATTTTTCACTTTTGGTTCTATATGGTTTCATACAAACAAACGGGCATGATATACCCTAATATATTTTCGATGATGATTTTTTCCACCATATGCGGCAGCATCATAGTGCAGTTTACACGATCCACCATACGAAAGATAAAAGTGGTGCTGCGGGTGTGAGCTCAGTTAAATGAGACAGAAATGTTCGGTGTGCGATTTGGTACGTTTGGTGTGCTGTATTCTTAACTGGATTCAGACAAATAGAGTAAGAGGTAGAGAGAGACAAAAATATAATTTCACCGACAAATTCACACATTACATATTTTCTCATTTCCCGGTTAATATTTATGGTTGGCGTCTTCTATTTATTATTATAATAGGATTGCCTTTAATGTCGAAAGCTATACATTAATAGGTTAACCAGGAATTTACGAAGGGCAATCGCACTTTGAACACTGCAGTTGTGCTGCTCTCTGACATTTATAAGTTCAACCCTATGTAAAGACATTGCTTTCCTCTTCTTCTTCATTTACAAGAAGCATGTGCGTTATAGCAGCTTAACTTTGAGATACCAGGTGGCAGCACATCTGCGTGTTCGACACATTTAACTCTAGCCAATTCACACAGAGATATATAGTGAAGTGGGAGCACAGATTTAAGGTTGCTTTTAGATATTTTCACATATAATTGTTTGGAATAATGTGACTTTGTAGAATGAAAGCAAACTGTGTAGTCAACTGTTTGTAAATACTCTGTATGTAATTGAACTCAAATGAGGTGTACTTTTTCATCTGCCCAACACAATGAATCATCTTTTAAGCATCACATTGTTTGCTTTTTAATCGTTCATTCGATTTGTGTTGGGCAAATGAAAAAGAATCTGTCCCAATCATGATGGAAAAAATCACATGAGAAAATGTTAAAACGACATTGAAAGTCACACATAAAAAATGTCATTCATAAAATATTGACTTTTGATCACACTGTTTAATTGTTGAAGTTAGTGATTTAGATGAAGTTAGTGATCATGTTTCTTTTATCATAGTTGTCAGGACATGGTTACGTAAAATGTGAAAATTTATCCCCCACACAAATGATGGACAGCGAACAAGAAGATGTAGAACACATTCGAATAGATGATCAAGTTAAAGTGACCAGCAACTTGTTGGACGAAAAGGGTTTGGAGCAATCTACAGATGAAGATATTATTCAAGATGATGCCGATCCAATTATTCTTGAACCATCACAGGTAAATAAATCGTAGTTTATTGTATGGAAAATTTTCATCGAATCATAATATTACTTTTATATTTGTAAAACCAACATAGGATGTTGCAAATCTATTAAATAGTCAGAATGCGTTAGCAGCTGCAGCCGCCGCAGCAGTTGTGGCTGCAAATTCGACGCCAACAGAACGTTTGACACCGGAAATGCAAGATGCACGATTAAAACTATCATCGGCTGCTGTTGCCCATATCAATGGAACTAGTGAGTATATATATCGTTCGAAATCGTCTACCTAAATAAAACTATACAATCCGTTGACTGTTTTGATTAATTCATTTTTCTTAAATTATTTTATTCTATTTGTAGTGCAAAAGATGTTTAATTTTCAAAATTTACAAAATTTGTCATCAATTCAACAACAAAAACTAACATTTGTTGACCTGGCTGGTTTGACATCGGCTTCAACATGCTTGAATTCACCATTGAATTTAAGCTTGAGCTCCGCATCACATTCGGATCCAAGTCATATTAATGCATCAGACTGTAGTACATCAATGGTTTCCGAACTGGCAAAAAATCTTTGTGGAACAACACCTGAAAACTATTCGCCACAAATGCCACAGCTTATATTGGCTTCGGTAAATCAAAACGTATTATTCAGCGTTTCTCTTTCAAATTTATAATGGGGATTCAATTGGTTTTAAATTTTCCATTTTCTTTTCAGGGAGGTCAATTAATGCAAGGTGTTCAAGTTGCACAGCTTTTGATACCATCCTCTCAAGGTAAAAATGAGTGATTTTTGTTTATTTCATTAAATGAAAATCATATTTTCAGCAATTCAATCTATTTCCATTTATTTATTTATTTTTTCATGCTCATTGAAAAAGGCATCTCAACCCAAACAATTTTAACGATACCGGTAAGTCAGCAATTTTTTTTTCTTTATAATTTTTCACTTTTATTGGAATCTCCTATATTTTTATATTAACTTTTTAAAACTCTAATACAATTGCTTTTTTTGCCACTTTAGGTAAGTCAGCAAGTGAGTTCAAATGAACAATTAGCTCAAACGTTGGCTGCCTTAAATAATTGCTCTACAAATCAACAAGTGCATCAACATCAAAAACAGCAATCATCTCATCAAATGCCAAATCTTATGAGTTCGCCTGCGTTGATTACTCAACCATCACAACAAAAACCACAAGGTTTGTATCTTTATCAAAAATAAAGTTTTTCCATTAATATTAAAACTTTTAAAGGCAACTAAAATTCATGTTTGATCAGAATATCAACGACGATTTGTGAATAATAATAAACTTACCTAATTTAAGCATTTCAAATTAAAAGTAAGTTTACTTAGTGTACAATGTACTTGTACATGTACATATGTAACATAGTTCAGTTATATTGGCAGTTGACCGATAAAAATAACGATTTTTATTCATTATTGAAGATCAACTAATATGAAAGCAAAATACCAAATTCCATAAATCCTGCAATGGATATAGTAGTTTTTATTTCCATGTGGAATCCAAACTTTATATTACCCGATTTTTTTATAAAGTTCACATAAACGTTTTTTACACGTCTGATTTAAATGTGACCTAGGGGGATTCCGCGCTCTTAAATATGAATAAATATGAACAAATTCGGGGGATTTCAACAAATTCAAGAGATGTTAACACAACTTTACATTTTTTGGGAGATATTTTGAGATTTTCTAAACTGCAATACCGACAATGTTGAACTTGACAAGAACAGGGAGTGAAGAAGTGGTGAATTATTATGACAGCTTCTAAGCTGTCATGGTAGTTGTTTGTTACATGTGTGTAAGTTTTTGCATTACAAAGCAAAATTGAAATGTGCCATTTGCAATGGAACGGTTCTGGCGTGAGTATCAAAATATTAAAAAATATATTGATTTGTTCTGATTAACTATTTGTTCAATCTCTTTTATACTTTGTTCATTTAAATTACTTAATGACGCTCTATCGATTGCACAGACAGCTAAAATATCTTTAATAATTTTTGGAATTTTATATTCGTAGAAGTTTTGATACTCACGCCAGAACCGTTCCATTGCAAATGGCACATTTCAATTTTGCTTTGTAATGCAAAAACTTACACACATGTAACAAACAACTACCATGACAGCTTAGAAGCTGTCACAATAATTCACCTATTATAAATATTTTAATGTCGCTAATGCAGTTGCTGACAGTCTGCAGCGCCAAAAATTCACCACCATTCATTATTATCTCATATTCGCCCATATTCTAAAAATGTCAAAATATTCGACAAAATTTGAAGTATCCTACATGGTGGATATCGGTGAATACTTACGGATATTGTCAGATACGGTGAGATATTTGAATTTTTATGAGATTTTAAGAATGAAGTTAAATTTTGGTACATAAATACGCGCGGAATCCCCCTAGGATTTGACGCTCCCGCTTAACTTCATTTTGTCTTAAAATAATTTTACTCTTACTCAGTACAAAAATGTAATATGAAATTGTATAAGTGGCATATTCTATGAGGTATTTCATTAAATTTAGCTCATCATTAGCAATATCTATTTTTTGGACATGTTTGTTCACGATAGCCCGAGCACACTGTTGGTGTTCACCCTGTTCATATAGTACAATCTACTTTTCGTGCCCATAACAATTATACATCATTTGATGTGCGGTAATTACACAAGTTGAAAAAAATTGAATAAAAACTACTACAGACAGTTGGACGGATAGTCAAATGTGAGTGGATGTACCAAAAGCTTTCAAAAAATATCTAAATTAAGAGTGAAAAAAAAAACAATTTTCAAAAAAAATATTCAAGTTAGTAATAATTCAATTGGCGAAAATAATAATAAAACTAAATGTAAAAGCAACATTTGATAGGCCATTACTAAAACTATCTGCTTCAATATGAATGTTCGTATCAAGCATAGAGGGAGAAACCACCCAACATTCGTTGATTTTATGTGATATGGTAGTGGAATTGAGGCTAATTATCACTCAAAATTGACATAAAACAACAAATATCTAGTGTAATTGAGCGCTAAAAGTTTCGTGTTTGACAAATATTTGCGTGTGACCTTTTAATTTCTTTTACATTATTCATAATGTCTATGATATGTAAATAATTTATAAATGCCTCGAATAATTAAAAGATTATCAAAATAGTCTGAGCATGTTCAAATGTTTAATCAAACCTTGAATTGTCGCACTTTGCTTATTTAACGAAACGATTAAATGTATCGCATTGTTTTTGAAATGTGTTAACTACATATTTTTCGTTTGGAAAAATAAAAAATTATTGACACTTTGAACGGCATGAAATTTTTTGTTAAAAACGGAAATAGAGCGACAAATATATAAGTCAAATAGTAAAATTTTTGGCCATGATTCGAAATAGAAGTGATAATAGAGCATTTGTTTTGGTTTCAGGTCCATTAAATGTGAACCTTTTTTCATCCGGTGTGCAAGAACTATTGGCTGCCATTCAACCGAATCTCTTCAATATGCACGAACAACAATCTAGCCACCATCGGCGTCATTCAATGTCTACCAATAGCCCGAGTCCAAATTACATGCAAACTTGTACCAATGAAAGCACTAACATTTCTATTCAGACACCCAAACACAGCCCACTTCGGAATTCGCACATTGAAAATCGGTGAGACTAATTCTAGGGGAAAGAACAAAATTTATTGAATTTTTATTTGGGGTTATTGCACGAGTATTAACAT